ATTTATTTACAAGCCAACTTTGCTTGCTAGGACAGAAGGCACACCTTCCTATCTTTCTAAAGGAGAAATCTGTTGTAACATTGCATTCGTATTTAAGGCAAAATTGAGACTTCAGTGTTGAGCAAGAGCTGAATGATTCTAGCTGAGGTTTCCTGCTCAGAGTAGCACTCAGTAACTACAGCTCTTCCTTTATCTTGGGATAGCTCCATCTGAGTTTTGAAGGGACATCAAGCTGTGAGAAAAAGACTGCATATTTTAGAAGACAACTTAAAAAGTTAATATTTCAATTAATATTAACTTAATATTTCAATATTTATTTATACACACTAATATTAGTAATATAATTAATATTCTTAAAATAAATATTTAAATATTTACTATCACCTTCCACTCAAAATGCATTTATTAGTATTTGATAATACTGGCCTTGGATACTGAATCCAAGCATCTCTCCTGGGCCAGATTGTCTAGTATTTGAAACTACAAGCATGTGGCATTATTCAGCTTTTAAATAAGCCCAGGGTATTAAATTATCAAAAGGGCAGCTATGTTGCTAATTAACCAATTAATTTTGGAGCTAGAAGAGAAACCAAGAACTTTGAGCATGCTAGCCAGATGTGCTGTGGAGCTATACCACCATTCCTGGTGTTTACTCTCGTTTCCAGTGGCCCATAGGAAAGCTCCAGTGCTCCTCGCTGAGTTTGGGAACACTTCGAAAGCAACAGAAAATGCTTCCGAGAAAAAGAGGCATTCACAGAGCTAGAGGGCATCTAGCACGGAAAAGCAAGATACAGGCTAGTATTCATTAGAGAGATCATGTTATATATTATTTAAGCAGAAGATAACTGTTGCAGATCTTGGACACAGGAGTAGTATTGAACTCCAAGTTTATTTCCTGAGGTATTTTGAGTCTGAAAGATTCAAAGGAAGGCATAATCTAGAAGAAAAGCCTGAAAGGACTGTTTTGAAGCAAAGGCTGGAGGAGGTAGCCTAGGACCAAGCAGCCAGGAAGTTCTCACCTAGGCAGATGCTCAGAAGGCCAGGGAGAGACAGAAATGGAACTGGGGAGAAAAAGCAGGGGCTGTGTAACAAACAGTATTTCCTGATTTTACATGACTCCATGCTTCTGATAACTCAGTTTTAATTGTCTCTGAGAGTATCTCAGAGACACAGCACTTATGAATGAAAGCAACCTCTTGGTAACTTGATATGTAGGAAAGACAAAACAGATGCAGTACCTCTGTGGACTCTGCATCCACACACAGTCTAGTGATGCTGATGTGTACTCTGGGGCCCTGCCTCCACACACAGTCTAGTGATGCTGATGTGTACTCTGGGGCCCTGCATCCACACACAGTCTAGTGATGATTACGTGTACCTCTGTGGGCCATGCCTCCACGTAAAGTCTAGTGAGGTCTAACCTTGGCCAGTGTTGTCTCATTTTTGTGGCTTTGGAGTCTGTAGCCTTTTGCCAGAACCTGGCAATCTAGAGGTTCCTATCAGAGCACAGGAACTGAAGGCAAGTTGCTATTGCTGTGGCCCCAGGCTGGAGCCTGGATGAAGGGTGGGAAAGAACACATTGCCTTGTACTTGCTCTCTAGGTCTTCAGCAGCACATCGATGATCCAGAAAACTTTGGCTGAACCAGAAATTCCAACAGTGTACTTGGTAGAGATGCTCTCAGGATCAGTATTTGGTATTTGTACTCTTGAAGGCTTAGAAGAATAGGCTAACTCCTGATTAGTAATTTGGTATCAGAGCCCATTGAGTCCTATAACAAAGTAAGGGCTGACTCTCTGGGTTGGTCTGAGCAGCTCAGAAGTTGGAAAAGCCTGTTTCTCTATTACTCTACTCTTATAGGCTCTCTAGCTGCCCAGTGAGCTCTCCCTAGAAATTATGCATGAGTTTGGAGAAACAGTCCTGAAACATCTACCACCACCACCACCACCACCACCACCTATTTCAGGAAAATGTACGAGATCCTTATAGCAGTTCCTCCTTTGGAGTTTTAGGGGACATCTTCTCTGAGCTATGTTTTTAACCTTATTTGGGAACATTGTAAACAGTATTAGCATAGGGCTAACCTTGTACAAATTAATACTTAATAAATTTTAGTTGAGGAAAGTAAATGAGCTGGGAAGAAAGCTGACTCTTATAGCTGTTGGTGTCACTGAAAGTATTTATTAAACTCTTTACCTTCATGGGGCACTGAGCCAGGGATGGAACAGAATACATTAGCAGATGTGACTTGTGTCCTTGGAGACCCAGGGCAGTATTTGCAAGCTCATTCTTGTGTGAAGTGTGAAATTTACCTCTGTTGTCATTCTCAGCTGACAAACAAGTAAATAGTGGTTGGGGCAAGAATAATGGTTGCTAACAGAAGGCTAGCATGCAGGTAGATTGTACCCAGGGTGCTCTGTTATTACTCCAGGCTCCTGGAAGCATTTTCCAATACTGTATTGTGATCTAGTATACACCTAGGTGTGGTATGGTGTGGTGTGCTGTGGTGTGGTGTAGTGTAGTTATACTTCTGAGGCTCTTGTGTTTGTAGGCATAAATACATTTTAAAAAGATTTATTTTGGGTGTGTTGTTTGTCTCTGCCAGGAATGTTAAAGTCTGGATTGCAAACATCATTCTGGCTGAAGAATGACTTAGCTTTCTTCCAAGGGCAGGCAGGGGCTTAGGGGAGGCCCAAGATTTTCATTACAATGGGAAGTTTTGTTGAAGCCTGCCTGGTCCCTGACAAAGATGGGAACTGGAAGCTGAGACTTGGTCTTTCTCCTCAGGCCTCTGCTCTTCTGTGTTCCTAAATGTAACTGGCCTCCTTTAGTTTTCTGTTTTCATATGTGGCCTGGGGTCCTGCCTGTCGTCATCAGTGACAGAAACGTTTTCTTATTTTGAGATAATTTTAGATTTGCAGTAAAGTTGCTAAAATACTATGGAGGATTCCTAGACATTCATGTTAACCTGCTTCACTGAATGTTAACCTCTTTTGTTCCAGAGGCCTTGCTGTTCTCAGGGTGATGGGTCTGGGGGTGGAGCAAGGGAATGGGGATATGAACAATGACCTTTCTCTAACTTCCAAGGAGTGTCCAACTGTGGCGTGGACTTTAGTGACCTAATGTTTTAACTTTTCATGAGAAATTTAAAAATTTAAAATGTTCTTCAGGTAATAGCATTAGGGAACTCAAAGGTGATTGGTGTTAGTGGTTCTGTTTCGGCCATGGTAGAATTGAGTGAAGGGAGAGTTTTGATGGAAGAGTCCTTGCTGGGGGGGGGGGGGGGAGGTCTTGAAATACTGTTTATTGATCGTTCTGTTTACTTAGCATTTAGTGACTGCCCCATAAGTGCAGTTCACACTCATCTTTGGCGACACCAAGTTGAGCTTTAAGACAGGGGTTTTGTGCAAATGCTGTGGTGGAGGTAAATACAGTGTGCTGTGGAGTGCATGGAAGGAGGTCCAATGCCCTCCTGATGGTGCAGTCCTCATTACGGCTACAACACCTGGAAGGAACACTCTTGGCAGATGTAAACAATCTGTTCTATTTAGTCCAAACTTACAATTATGATAGCTTATGCAAATTTAGGGGACAGTCAGTTCTTTGTCATCTTACCAGTAGGTAAGTACATTGTTCCTCATGAGTAGAGTTAAAATAGTCATTAAATGCAGTGATGTGCTGATTGTGTTTATTTTCCTAGTGCCACCTACTGCTTTCCTTTACCTGTTTTTTTTCCTTTCTTTCTTCCTTTCTTTCTTTTCTTTTTTTTTTTGGTAGTGCATAAAATTCTTTATTTAGAACAAAAAGCATATCTATCTATCTATCTATCTATCTCTCTCTCTATATATATATATATATATATTACAATTTCAAATTCAAACCTGTATAAAAAATGTTAGCACATATACCTAATTTGAGAACTACACATACAGTATATGCACAAACACATCACATTTTACAACCTTTTTATTTAATTAGATTTCACTCATAATAAGGCAATGAAATAGCTATTTCATATTTGTATATTTTCTATAAAAGTTAGAGTAAATATCCATACTTTCTAGAAAATGATTGTATATAGAACCTTTCAAAATATGTACCCCACTATATTATTGAAGTAATGTTGCTTGGAGAACAAATGTACATTTTGACTAGTTCTGTCAAAGTGCCAATCTATAACCATTCTTTGGTGTAGAGAATAGGTTATTGTCATTGGTATTTGTGTTCTTGCATTCTTACACTTATTGCATATAGAGACTACTTTGTTACTCAGTACACCATTGGTTCATCAGATAACCTTTTCTATAGGCTCATCAGAAGGTGGTGTGCTATGCCTTTCTCTGTGGCCTTTCTGAAAGATGTTCTGGAAATAGGGCATCTCATCATAGTAGATTGGAAACTCCAAGTCCATACCAACAGTTTCTGTAGAAACATTCCTTGTAATCCAGTCTGCCTGCCATGCATATATCTGTTAAGGAACATAGACCATGTTCATCCAATTCATCTAAATTTCCTTCTATAAACTCAGACTTATATCTCTCCATTTTAAGTATTAGTTGAATGAGAGTGACTTCCCATGAGCACAACTCAAAATAGAGCAGTGGAAACAATCAAAATAGCAGATGGACAAGTTTGGAAAATGTGAGGGCACCATGCCATTATAACCAGCAGTAGAGAACCAGATGCTATACACCATGGTCTCCAGCATACATTGGGTAGTATATGAATCTTGCCTCCAGTTAGAGATTCAAAACGAGACATAGAAAGTGATGTACCAAATACAAACTTATGATCCAAGCACTTGTGACATATTAAATTACACATCAGTGTAACACCAGCAACAGGCTTGGCAGTTAGATACCATATGGTTATCATAGTGGAGAATTTCATTCTGATGAGTTGGGAGCTTTGATTCTTCTTCAATTAAATTAAAACTGAATCTATTTTTTGTTTCAGAGCCGTGGTGGTGGCACTTTGTTTAGCAGCTCCCATTTCATGTTCAGCTTGTTGAATCCTGTTGTGAGAGTTTCAGACAGTGACATCACCAAAGCAGTTGTGAAACAGGTAAGAACCTGGCTATCACTCTGTCTATCCTTCTGTTGTTGGGCACCTATGTTGGTTCCGTTGCATACTGTGAATAGTGTTGCAATAAACATTGATGTGCAAGTGCCTCTGTTGTAGGTTGACTCAGAGTCCTCTGGGCAAATTCCTAGGGCTGGTTTAGCTGGATCATATGACAGATCTATTTTTAGTTTATTTTTGAGAAACATATATACTGATTTCCACAGTGGCAGAACTAATTTATCACCTCATCAGCAACATGCAATGGTTCCCTTTGGTCCACATCATTGTCAGCATTTGTCATCTGTTTTCTTAATGACTGCCATTCTGACTGGAGTGGGAGAGAATCTCAATGCAGTTGTACTTTGTGTTTCTCTGATGTTTAGTGAAGCTGAACATTTTTTTCATGTTTATTGCCCATTTATATGTCATCTTTTGAGAACTGTCTTTAGCTCATTTTCTATCTATGTTATTTGACTTGTTTAGTTCTTTTGAGCTCTTTGTATGTTCTAGATATCACTCAATCTTCTGTCCACTGGCAATGTTTTCCTACTGTTCTGTGAGCCATCTCTTCTCCTGGTTAGCTGTTTCCACTGTGCAGTAGCATTTTAATTCCTTGAGATGTCATTTGTCCATGGCTGAGCCTATTTCCTGAGCAATAGGACTTCTATTCAGCAAGTCCTTGTCCACCTGTGCTTAGGAGCTGTGAAGTCCCATTTTTGCTTCTCATTTTTGTAGGAATGGCTTCAGTGAGCATTTATGTTGGTGTCATGCTTACTAGTCATCATCTAGTTCTGTAACATGCCTGAGAAACCTTTGCCCTCTCCCACATCATGAGTTTCTTTTGTCTTCCACCAACAGCTTTGTGGTTTTATCAGTTATATTCTCATTTATATTTCCTATCAAGTTACTTTTTATGAAAGAGGTGGGGTTGTGGGCAAGGTTTCTAGTTCCTCTATTGTTTTTCTTTTCCTGCTGGATTATGCTAGTGACTTTGTGACAATCATGATTTTGTATGAGGAGGTCTAATTTTGGGGTACTCTATTCTGTTCTGTAGTTATTCTTTGCTTGTCTTGTAGTATTTATAAAAATGTTACTGTGTATGTTTGTGTGTATGATGTATGTGTGTGAGTATGGGAATGTGAGTGGAGGTCAGAGTACAACTTCCAGGAGTTGGTTCTCTCCTTCCACTGTGGGTCTGAGGACCACATTCAGGTGCTTAGATTTACACAGCAAGCATTTGTACCCACTGATCCACTTCTCTGGCTTGCACCATTTTTAGTAGTTGTTATCATACAGGTGGCTGTTTCATAAGTCACATGGAATCACTGGACAACTTTGAAGTTTATATTTTTTGCTGTTAAAAACAATAGGAATGTCTGTTTAGCTATTGATAACTGTAAAGAACACACACACACACACACACACACACACACACACACACATATATATATATATATATATATAATCCAAGGGAAATATTTATAAGTGCAATGCTACTATTTCACTTTATATGGTATAGTCTAATTTTTATTTCTGCAACAAATGAGAGTGCCTGCTATTTACAAGAAAGTAGAGTGAATGCTGTGATCAGAGCCCATGACGCTCTTACCATCTGGGAGAGGACAGTTTACTTTGCTTCTGGCTAGTCAGCTTCCTGTCTCTGTAATGAAATAAATGATAAATGTAACTTATGTAGAGAAAAACATTTATGAAAGGTTTGTTTTGATTTCTGCTTTCATGGATTCCAGTCCGAGGTTAGGTTGATCCATTGCTTTGGGCATCTGGTAGAAGTGCTGGGTCACTAAAGTGGGGACCATCTTATCACTAGTGCTGATTGCTTGCATCAGGAGCCAGGAATCCAAGATAAAGGGGAAGAAAGATACCAGAGCACCCCATCTCTGCAAGGGCATGCTCCCCATGACCTATGGGCCTTTTGTAAGACTCTACCTCTTAAAGGTTTTACTATCTCCCTATAGCACCATCCTGGGGACCAATCCTTTAATAAATAGGCCTTTAGGGGGACACCTTTTTAAGCCATTGAAGCCTTTACATACCATTTTCATATTGTTACTTTCCTGTAACAACCAAAGTTGTTAGAGAATTATAAAAACCAAAACCTTCAGTGGAAGGACTTTCCTAAAACTTGTTATTCTCCAAGGGTCTCATAATATATTATGAATATACATGCATTTGCATGTATGCCAGCTGACTGAAAGTAAATGGTAAATATTTGGCCAATTGTCTAAAGGCATTCAGTCAATTACAGAAACAGAACAGCGGTCATAATTCACCCAGCGTGTGTGGTCAGATATGAAAGGTTACCTGTCTTAAGCTTTTTATATGCTAACCAGAAAGGCATTTAGTTGCATAAATGATCCCCCGAGGTACATGTTTTTATTTTATGTGGGTATATACATAAAATTATAGTGCTGTGTGAAGTGTTTGTAAATGTTTAGCTGCTTTATGTGATCATTTATCCACTTAGAGGTGCCATTTGCAATAGAAAGGCCATCATAGATCTCATTTTAAGTATCATGATGTTTTTCTTGGAGAAGATGGATTTTAAGAGAGAAACTGATATTTTTGGTAAATATTTAATATCTTCCAAATAATTTTCTGTATGAGCAGTAAAATAATTGTATATTATGGTATTTTAATATAATTTTCATGTTTACCATAATAAAATTAATATCTGTGATAAGAAGGACTACCAGTCTGGAAACTATAGTTTTAATAGTCATCCCTACAGTCTAATCGAAGCCTGATAGCTCCAACTTGTGCTAAACTAGATACGGACACACAGGATGCAGAGGACTGTGTCTCAGATGGTACACAGGAAGTGTGTAAGACTGGCTCCTACAGACATGTGCCTTTAATTTGTCAGTGAGTTAGGGACTTCCTTTCTGGGCCATGTCAGTTATTTTGAACCAAGTAAAAACTCTTTTTTTTTTTTTTGTATGAAACTTATTTGCTTATTATCTATTGTAAATAGAACAGAATCTTTTGGAGGACAACCAATAACATGAATGGTAAGGTCTCACTCTGGTCCCAGTGCTGACTCCATCTTTCAATGCTGACAGTTTCTGGATCCCTGTGGGTATAAAGCATGAGGACCACCCTAACCTGGATCCAACTCAGATTAATTCATGAAATAGTTTGAGATAGAGCTGGTGTTATTTTGTGGTATTGCTCTTAACATTTTGAGGTATGTTCTAGTGTGACTGGACACTTTGGACTCAACCTAATCTCTTTCTGGTTCTTACGATAGACACATTTTTCCTTTATCAAGGCAGCAGTGGGAATCTCTCTGAGGTTCTCTTTAGAAGTCCCTCAGAGGATGTCAGTGGAGCTGTGACCAGGTAGAAGGAGGGACAATCAGCGCTGCCTGTTGATTGCTGTGTAGTCCCTCAGTCATCAAGTCTCCTGTTTTCCTGATGAGAAATAATCCAGAAAACAGGCCAGAACCAAAACTAAATAGAACTAAAACTAAGGTTTAGAAGATTAATTTAAAATGAATTTCATCCTGTGGCCCTCTGTCTCATAATCACCCTATTTTCAGTACCCTTTGATAAAAGGTGTATGGGTAGTGAATGTAGTTTTCCTCCCTGAGCCCCTGTATCCCTCTCTCCCTCCTTAAACTCACAAACTCATGTCGTTCTAAAACTAAGAAAGGTTTCCCCTCCATCCCTCCACATTGTGCTCTGCAATGTCACCCTCAACAAGAGTATGTTCATTTTGTGGTCAATTTACTGTTTGGTCTTGTGATTTTTCTCAGCTCTGACTCTTGCAGCTAATTAACATGTTCATTTACACTGTGCAGCTACAGTACAGGCATGTTAAATAATTGATTGGGCTGTGGCAGGTAGAGGATGGTAAATGCAGTCCCTTTGTTGCTATGGTGATACATTTGGTTAAGGGGTCCTGTCTATCATTTGGATTACATGGATCTGACACATGTGATGTAATTGTGGTTGATGTGGTTGGAGGAGAAAATCAACTTAGGAAGAGGTGGCATTTGAAGCAAATGAATATATGTTTCAGAAGGTGCTTGGGCAAACTTGTGGAATGACACACTGTTCTATTAAAAGGCTCACTCCCAGTGAATGCATTAGTACAGAGAATGGGTGAAGTGACAGATTTGTTTACTTGCTATCACAGTAGCATTTGATCATTTATTGCCTAAAATGGTTATTGTGTGAGGTTTACATCCTTCCCTCTGTCACCCTTAGGAGGGCTTCTAGTAAGTGGAATTGATGCTGTCTTTAGTAGAGATTCTGAGGGGAAGGACATTTCTTTTATTCTTTGTTAAAAGCAAAATCCCCAAGCTGTTAGGAGAAGCCATTTTGTTTATGTCCTTTTCCAGCAAATATTCACTGAGCATTCAGCTAGGGGCCCCAAAAAGCTGGGAGACAAGGGCACAAAACAGATATAGTTCTGCCCCCATGGTGGTTAGTCGCTAGTTGTCAGTGTCTGTTTGCCTTTAGCTCTTCCCTTTTCCTGCTATTCTTTGACCTGAAGAGAACTGTCGTATTTGTGTGTGATAGTGTGTGTGTGTGTGTGTGTGTGTGTGTGTGTGGATGCATTCATGTGGAGGTCCAAGGTTGATGTCAGGAGTCTTCCCCAATTACTTTCTATCATGTTCATTGAGGAAAGGTCTCTTAGTTGAATCAAGAGCTTGTCAGTATGGCTAGTCTAAATAGCCAGCTTGCTTTAGGGATCCCAGTCTCTGTTTTGAGCCCTGGAAATAAAGGTGGCCCACCACAGCCACTTCACATTTATGTGAGTTCCAGGGTTCAAAATCCCAGTCTACATGCTTGTTCATCAAGGACTACTCCCGACCCATCTCCACAGACCCCAAGAATCTTATTTTGTCCTTATGTTTTGTAGTTCTTTCATGTGTATATGAAAGTAATTTTTGTTTGTTTGTTTTTTTTTGTAGTGCTAGGAAGTGAATCCAGGGCCTGACTTAAGTATCTACCAGTGAGGTACACCCTCACCCT